GGTGATTCTTCTTTGTTTCCAACTTTTGCATCCCAGTCACCAGTGATAATTAACACATCTTGATTGCACGTTCAGTCAATTTCAGACTGCAGAAGTTAATGAAAACCTTCAATTTCCTCATCTCTGGCTCTGGTGGTTGGTGTGTAAATTGAATAACAGTAGTATTAACTGGTCTTCCTTGTAGGTGTATGGATATTATCCTATCACTGACAGCATTGTACTTCAGGATAGATCTTGAAACTTTCTTTGTAATGATGAATGCCATGCCATTCCTCTTCAAATTGTCATTCCTCGCATAGTAGATCATATGGTTGTCTGATTCAAACTGGCCCAAACCGGTCCATTTCAGCTCACTAATGCCTAGGATATCAATCTTTATGTGTTCTATTTCATATTTGACAACTTTCAACATTCTTACATTCATACTTCATACATTCCATGTTCCGATTGTTAGTGGATGTTTGCAGCTATTTCTCCTCAACTTGAGTCATGCTGTATCAACAAATGGAAGTTTCAAAAGCTTTATTTTATCCATGTCTGTAAGGGTGGTTCTACTCTGATGATGCAGCTCTTTCCCAGTTGTATTTTGAGAGCTCCAACTCACAGCGACCCTATGAACAACCCAATGAAACACTGCCCAGGCCCGTGCCATCCTCACAACTGTTGCTGTTTGAGCCTGTTGTTATAGCCATTGTGTCAAACCATGTCAGTAAAGGTCTTCTTCTTTCTCACTGGCCTTCTACTTTATCAAGCATGATGCCCTTCTCCAGGGACCAAAGTGCATGAGACAGTCTCACCATCCTCCCTTCTGAGAAGTATTCTGGTTGTATTTCTTCCAAGACAGATTTGTTTGTTCTTCTGGCAGTCCATGTAATATTTAATACTCTTTGCCAATACCATAATTCTAAGGCATCAATTCTTCTTTGGTCTTTCTTACTCACTGTCCAGCTTTCCCATGCATACAAAGAAAATGAAGATACCATGGCTTGGGGTAGGAGCACCTTAGTCCTCAAAGTGACATCTTTGTTCTCAAAACTTCAATAGAGGTGTCTAACTCAGTGCCTCTCTTCTTGGCATTGGGCAATATTAGTCACTATTACTTTTTTAGCCAATACATTCCATTTTCTCTCACTTATTACCACAAAATCACAGGGAGGTGAATGGGACAAGTGGCATTATCTCCATCTTACATGTAGATGACCTGAGAGACACCTGGGTGGTGAAGAAGTTGTAGGGTACCTGGAGTCAGTGGGTGCTACACAACGGTGGAGTCTGGGGTCCCACCTCCCTCTTTTTCCCCCAGTACCTGGAGGTATGTCTCCAGGGCTGTCCACACATTCCACTCGCTCAGTGGGGCTCCCATGCCTAGGTATGTCTTTATCCTCTTCTTCCGTTCTAGAGGATTCAGTGCAGGGTGGGCCTGGGCTCGGGGGATGCCCAGGACAGTCTCGTGCACATAGACTGACCAAAGGTTGCAGGTGGCCTCAGTGGTGTGTGGGGGGAACTCCCACCCAGGCTGCTGTTGGTTGTGGCCCAACTCATGGATAGCTCCCCACAGGCCTTTGCTCCTCATGTTTGCCTCATGGATGAGCTCCGGTACTGACTCCAGGTGGCACATGATGGGATAACCGGAGTGCATCCAGCCTGAGGACAGAAGGAAGAGGCGGTATGTGAGGTCCACCCAAAACCATCTTCATCCTTCCCCACTGTGTGACTTCCCCTCCCCACCCAGGTGCCTCACTGATTCCAGGATCTCCTTGCTGATTAGAATGTAGATACTCTCCCTGACTCAGACAGGAACTGATATGTTCCTAGGCCCCTCCCAGCCTCCCTCACCCTCCCTCACTGAGTGAGGCCCACTCATCACCCTGACCTTGCATAATACGCCCACCTTCATTCAGTCTTTCTGGCTCTAATCTAATGTCTCAGTTTTCTTGGACTTCCTTCATGTGAGCCTGCTCCATCATGTCCTGGGCCTGCATCTGAACCTCCTCCAGGCTAGTGCAGTGCTGTTCTTCCCTCCCCAGTGTCGTCCTGATCTACACTCCATGGCACCGGTGATTTTGCCAGCATTCTTATTTTATGGAGGGAGCTGAGGTCCAGAGTACATCTCTCCATGCAGAACCCTGAGCTCCTTGTCTTCTCTGTCTTTGCTCTCAACCACTCGATGCTTCACATAAACCTCGGTACCCTCTTTCTCTTTTTCTGGTCCACCACTTCCTCTGTCCGCTGCCCACTCTGACTTACATTTAAAGGAACTACTTCCTTTTTCATCCTTTCCCTGATGGACCCTCTCTGCCATCTGCTGGCCCTTGGTGCCATGTTTTTAGCTGGTTCTACCCCTGCTGTGAACTCTCATCTTCTAGGCCTAGAGGATTTATGTTATTACAAACGAGCATCTCTTCATGCCCAGCAAAGTCCATGCCTTTCATGACTTTTTTCCTACTTTACTAGTAAAATTACGCTTCACTCATACTGGGCATTCAAAAAAAGGCAAAATGCTACATGGGTGGTGCCCAATGAGTGGGCACCTCCCCATGCCCTCACCTGCTGAGATCTGCACGTCAGTGACGATCCTCTCAGGGCGGTGGAAGGGAAATGGCTGGGCTGCCAGCCTGGCTATGGCCGCCATCATCTTATCCCAGAAGCACAACAGGGGCTCAGGGTCTTCCAGGGTGCACAGGTTAGCTGTGGGTATGGTCAGGATGATGCTGTCCGTTGCCAGCTCCCCCCAGGGCACTGGGCACTTCTGGATGCTCCTTCTCCACTCCTCTTGTGATGTCTCACCTGGGAACAAGTGTCATGGGCCCTGTCACCCACTTCAACTCTCCTTGGTGGGAAAACACAACTGCTCCCCTGGGAGGGGACCCTGAGGTACCACATTATTATTTTCTGAGTCTCTGTGCTGTGAGGTGAAGAAGGGTTTCCACATCTTTTCCTCAGCTCTGTCATTAAGTCTCCATAGATGTAGGGTGTCCCATAACCCTGGACACAGAGTGTCTATTATTTCCAGACACAGCATATCTCATATCCTTAGGCACACGGTGTCCCACCTCCCAGGATGCAGGGTATTCTGGATCCCTGGAAGCAGGGCATCCCACATCTCTAGACACAGTGTGTTCCGCATCCCTGAATATAAGGCTTTCATTTCTGCCCTAACAATTCTTCCTCTCCTCCACCCAACCTCAACCCCCCTTCTACAGCCACCCCATCACTGCCCCACGTCCCCAGCTCCTTCCCACCTCAGCTCTGCCCTAATCCCCACTCACCCAGCTTGTAATAGGGTGCTGGTATGGCCCTCCTGAAGGTGACTGGCACAGGGCCCAGAGAGCTGCCCTTGGGCACAATGACATAGAGCAAGCCCCCCCAGAGACAGGAAACTGACAGCCGGGGCCGGTCCATGCAGCACTGGTGGGTCACCACAGGTGCTCGGCACAGCTTGTTGGCGTGGCTCAGGTCGTCAGTGTGGCAGCCCACCTGTACCTGTGAGGAGACCCATCTGAGTCAGCAGAAAGGGCACCCAAGGAGTGTGCCATGTGGGGGCAGGGTATGTGAGTGTAGTGTGCCATGGACCTCCACCTCCCCTTTCCGCGGCCAGTAGGGGGAATCCTATGTCTGAGCAATCCACTCCCAGGGGCTGACACTGCTCCACAGGGGATCTCATCTGAGTGTGAGGGACCAGCGGTGACACACATGTCCCTATATCATGCACTGGCATTGGGCCTGAGCTGCATGGTGACTCCGAGTAGGAGTGAGCCTGAGGGAGTGATTCACCCTCATTTGGACAGAGAGGAGGCCAAGCAGAAGCTATGCCATCTGGCCTGAGTGATGGAGGAGGGGTCTATCGCCCCCTTTGCCCAGGGTCCTCTTCTTGGGCGGATAGTTGAGTGTTGTTTCTGTCTGGCTGGATTAACGCAGCCAGTTGGGCAAGGACACTGACACAGGGCTCCTCGGTGTGGTAGGAACTGGCCCGAGAAGGGAGCAGGCAGGAGGAATCTGAGGTTTGGGCAAATGATGGGATTAAGTAGCTCCCTTCAGGTGTTGAGAAAAGAGGCCAAACTCAGAATGGCTTTGTGCCATGGGGGATGGTGTCTTTGTTCTCTAGTGCTGCTATAACAGAAATACTGCAGGGGGATGGCTTCAACAAACAGAAACTTATGCTCTTACAGTTTAGAGGACAGAAGTCCAAATTCAGAATGCCACCTCTAGGGGGAGACTAGGCGAAAAGTCCAAGTTCAGAGTGCCAGTTCTAGGGGCAGGTTAGAGGCCCCTTGAACTTGGTCTTCCACTTTGCCTTCCAGGCCCACTGGAGCAATCTAGAAGATTCTCGTGACTCATGCAGCTGCTGGTTGCTGAGGTTGATGAATCCAGGATTGGCAGGTGAAATAGCAGATTTTTGGCTCACAGATTGTGAAGACCACAGGCCACTGGTTCAAGTCCAGGAACTGGAGACGAAGAACCATGAACAAACTGCAGGGTCCTTTCCATAAACACTGGAAGCAAACCACAACCTGAAGGTAACTTCCTTCAACTGCCCATGGCAGATTCCACCACGGAAATGATTCCACCACATCCAGTCTCATCATGGGGAATAACTATATCCAGCTGGCAAGCCACTCAAAATCATGGCCTAGGCAAGCTGAGCACAACCTTAACTGCCACAGATGGTAGGGGACTGGCTATGTGACAGGTGCCTGTTCCCTCACATGGGGGATCTCACAGCACCCCCGTGGGCAGGGAAAATCCCCCCCACATGGAATGCAGGGGCTTAGGGGTGATCATGGATCTGGCACGAACAGCTCTTGGCCTCGGCTCTGAATCTTAGCCGCTTCATCTGTAAATGTGTAAAACGGGCAGAAGAGCACCTTGCCACACTCCAGATGGTGTCCCTGGGTGGGGCGAGTGGTTCAAGTCCTCGGCTGCTAACTGGGAGGCTGGCAGTTGGAGTCTGCCCAGAGGTGCTTCCAAAAACTTGCCTGGTGATCTCCTTCCAAAACATCAGTCACTGAAAACCCTACTGAGCACGGTTCTACTCTGACACACACGAGGTCGCATCATGGTTGTGGTATCCCTGGTAACACTGATGTGCACAGGATCAGGACATGGGCAAGGACGCAGCTCTGTGACTTTGAGAGGTGTTGCTGCGGTGTTCTGGTCTTACCTTCAGGCCAGCAGAGACTTCGGCTTTTGACAGAGAGACTTCTGCATTCCATCCTTCTGGGAGGTAGAGTCCTGTGCTCACCCAAGAATCACTGTTGCCTAGCAAAAGCCAAGAAGAAGGTTGAGTCTCTCTGTGTGTTTTCCTCACCATCTGCCCCCTAAAAGCGACAGTTTCTCCCCTGCTCCCTATATTTATCCATGGGCCCTGACTCACCCTCCTCAATCACTCAAGGAAGAGCAGAGCTGGCCTCCCTGTGGTCCATTCTACAGTGTTCAGCTGCCTGTCAACCTGGCCCCACTTCAACCTTCCCCCTCCCACACACCTGGGTTGGTCCCATTGATCTTCACAGTGATAGGGTGCTCAAAGGGATGCAGGCTGGAGGGGCAGGTGTCAGGCCTGAGCCCTTGGGCCAGCTGGGAGCAGTCCATGCCTGACCGGGCCAACTCTGTGGCCAGGCAGAGCAGCATGGCCTCATGGGAGTCACGAGCCACAGGGTTGTCCTTGCTCACAGCTGGAAGGCCAGCCTGGCGTAGTGTCTTCCTGAGCAGCCGGTGCAGGGAGGCATAGGCAGGGATGCCCTCAGCAGGGATCTGCAGGAAGGCCGCAGCATCCGATCGTAGCCTGGCCAGCCAGCCCCTCTCCACACTCAGGCCCTCCTGGAAAGCAGACAGTGCCCTGCGGAAGTGGTAGTTCTTCATCTCGGGGGCGGGTGTTGGGAAACGGCCCGGGTTTAGGGTCTGGCCCAGGATGCTGAGGCCGAGGGGGTTGAGGATGTGATTTCCAGGATAGCTGACCAAAGCGGAGTGGCCCGGGTGCTGGGAGGCCCACCACCAGGCCTGGCCTCCGATCAGCAGGCCCCCACCCTCAGCCACAAACTCCTGAAGGTTCTGAGCCTCCTGGTCACTGTATGCCACACAGCAGTAGACACATAGGTCCCTGGTCACCTGGGGCTCCAGGCTGCAAGCCAGGCCTCCAGCCGACAGCAGGGGACATAGGCTCTTCAGACTTTTATTCACTCCGATTTTGCCTGCCTGGTTTCTGGCCAGCCAGCGCACAGCATTGAGCAGAAAGGGCCGCATCGTGGAAGCACACAGCAAGCTCTCATGGGCAGCCAGCACCACACGGCCACGGCCATAGCGGGCGGCAGCCAGGAAGCAGCCGAGGTTGGTGTCCAGCCCCAGGGGAAAGGCCAGCGCCCCATGCACCAGGAGCTGCGAGGGGATTCCTCCGGTCCGGATGTCCAGGTCTGAGACTCCTTCCAGGAGCTGTTGCTGATCCCGCCTGAGGTCCTCCCCACACCTGGAAAGAGACAGAGGATGGAGGGGCCACAGCCAGCCAATCAGTGAGAAAGCCCACTGAATGGAGAATCCACATGTACCAGGAAGACAGCCTTGTTCATGTGGTCTTCTCACTCTTGTCAATAACAGCACAGATCTAGTATCTCAAATGATATTTTATCAAGCCTAAGGCATATTCAGTGAAATAATAATGGGGTTATGTGGTTGACAGAATGGTGTCAGTGATCCACAATGCCCTAATATTTGTCTTTTCCAAAATTTAAGCTTAACTTTCCTATAAATCAGGCCACATGTGTTGACCAATGAAATACTGATACTACTCCAATAGTAAATTGTATAAACCAACAGAAATAAGGTTCTTTTACTTCCA